ATATTCATTTAGAAGCAACAACACTAATGTTTTAACTCAGGAAGCGTTCAGAAATCAAAATTTGGTGGAATAACCAGGAGGTTTTCAATGGGGTTCAGTGCTCTTAATTTTTTTCCAGAGTGGGCATGAAGGAAAATGATGCATTGTTTTCTAATATTTGTACAAATCAAAAATCTGAAGTGGGGGATGTGCGTCTATATCCAATAGGGTTTTATATAAGGAGTGTTAAAGTAAACATTTATAGAGTTCTATATTTATTAACCTGCAATTTATTTGGGAACATCAGAGCTAAGGGCCTTTTTTAGAGTGTATATATATATATATATATATATATATATATATATATATATATATATATATATATATATATATATATATATATAAAATCTTTCAGAGCATCTGAGAAACTTTTCTTGTAAGATGATTTCTAAGAAAACTTGTGAAAAAATATGTTGAATCTGAACATAAGAGCTGTGCTCCAACCCTTGAATATTCTCCTGCTGAAGCTAAATCCCTAATTTGTGCCACAGGCATGCCTTTTATTCTGTGGTAGATCAACAAAACTCTCATACTTCTCTGCTGCCCTCTACTGGATGATCTTCAGAAGCAATAGCAATAGCCCCATCCAAGGTGAAGGTTTCCCAGTCGAGACAATGTAGTGAAAATGAGACATGACAAATCTGACGAAATGAGGTTCAGAGGACGATGGTAATGATATGCTCTGAGATAATATAGCCATGCGATTCATGATTGGCGGTCATGATTGCACGTGCCGCATTTTATAGCCTTTTTGGCAGGTGATTTCGGCGAGAGGCGATAACGCCAATCACTGAGATCATCTGCTGTCGGAGAGTTTGATTGGCAAGGAATCCAGTTTTATGCACATGCATTCTAGTGTGTCACGGCTTCTGGGAGCGATGAGAAAACTTCACGCTGTGTTCTCACACTGAGTATAATGTCCCCAAACCCATTGGGATTATCAGTGTAATGCCCTTTTAACTGCTCTGATTAGCTGCTTATGCCTTATTAGCCTGCTGCGCCACAACAAGAGGATACCGCCGTCCTTACATCGTTTCAGTGTTTGTTTTGGGCAGCAAAATCAGAGGAAGTCTCTGAGGAGCTTTTGGAAATGCTGTGTGACCTTCAACAAAGTTCAAAGCCACGTTTTACCTGCACATTAAAGTGGAATATCGACTGTCAAACACGCCACAGATCAAGCTAATGCTAATGCTAACGCCTACGTGTCCTGCCCGCGGGGCAGAAAAATACAAAGGATGTGTGAAAAGCACTTAGTGGCTCCCACTGCGGTTCAGTGGAGTCCAAAGACAAACACATTTATATTTTACTACAGGAGCAGAACCTCATTAGACACGGGCAAATTACCTGTACAAAGGTTTGAAATAGCGATAGCTGTAACATTTCGTTCCAAAGACTTGTAGTCCTTTTTTTTTCCCGGTTGTATGAGGACCTTCCCCCACCTATTGCTTGCCAAGTCAGTCGATTGGATGACTGAAGGTTTTTACGCCGTTCCCTGACTCATCAGAAACCAAATTTTGGCTAATGGGAAACATTTCAAATCATGAAAAACACACAAACCTCCAGACTTGTTACTTGAACAGACAGTCTGACTGACTTCCCAATAAATATTAACTTGCTTGTCATGATTTTCTAAATTTAGTGGGAGATTTTGCCACAACAATAAAAAAAATATTTTTACACATTTTACCAAGTTTGCTAAAAAATGTAACACTTTTTCTTTCTTTCTTATTTTTTTTTATTTATTTTTTTTTTTTTACAAACAACACATTTTTATCAAATTTCTACTTTAGGGAGCATAAAGAACTGCAATTTCCTTTTCACTGACACCAAAAAGTAAACGGCAAGCTGGTTGCAGAGAGAAGCCGATAACTTCCCCCAGAACAGGCGATAGTATTGTGTTTATTTCTCAAGTTATGTGCATTCATATTCGAGTTATGACTCCATTTATGTGTCTGGAGGTTTTCTGTCAATAGGAGAGCCTCTCCCCCACACCCCCCGAGTCTCCTGCTGCTCGCTGCAATTGATTTTTATATACATTTTCAATAAACATCAAGGATCTAAATGATCTGCTTATTATCATCTTTATGTTATTTTATCAAATGCTTGTGCACAACCCAGAGTTCCACGCCGAGGCAGATGTTCCTTGGCTCAGGGACGCTGCAGCCCTGGACTTTTAACCTCCTAATTAATGAGCAACCTCCTCCTCCACCTGAGCTGCGGATCTCATACTCCTCAGCGTAAAGGCCAAATAAATATTGTGATTTATGCTTTTTTTTTTTTTTTGCATTTAGTAAGAAGCTGTTATATATATATATATATATATATATATATATATATATATATATATATATATATTAGGTGTTTATATGATAAATTAAGACAATTTATCATATAAATAGTGTGGTGGAAGAAAAATATATGTTTTTTTTTGTGTTTCATTTACAAATCAAATTAAATCCTCCCTCGGGAATACAATTACAACTATTTATTGAGAACGTCTACAAAAAGCGATTTTCAAGTCTTGCCCACAGATTCTCAATTGGAACTTTGATTGGGCCGTTTTAACACAAACATAGTATGATCTGAGCCATTCCTTTGTATCTCTGCCTGTAGTTTCAGGGTTGTTAGGTCCAACCATCAACTCTGCCCAGCGTAGCATCCCCACAGCTTGATGTTGCCACCACCATGTCTCACCATGTTTAATCGTGTTCTGTTTTAAGTCAACTTTTAGGACTCATGGCATCACGCATGACATTTTATCTTGATATGTCGTTTTGATTTGTCTTTTAACTTGTTTTATGTTGCTAAAGGCACATCTGGGGATGTGCATTGCGAATGAACTAGGGCTCTAAATGTCGTAGTGTTCTGCTTTTTGATTAAGCTTAACACCTGTCCTCATGCAAATTAAAGACAAAAATCAATACATTGTTTTTTTTAAAGTTCAAATTCAGGCCAGCAATGCAAGCTGTACTTCAATTCTTATTGGTATTTGATGTGGTGTTTGATATATTTTTAGACTGCTTTCCTAATTGGACTAATCTACTGTAACTTTACGCCTCACCACTCGGCGTCCTGATGGGTGAGGAAGTGTGTGTCAGCGTTTTGCCACTTTGCAGCTTTAAGACTTATTATTTGCCAGCAGCTTCTCCAGCAGGAGCAGGTGGCTATTAGTTTGTGTGTTAGGGGGGGTTGTTTCAACAACTATGGATTATTGAGTCTGTATTTAAAAAAAGAAAAAAAGGGGGGAAATGAAAGTAAAAAAAAACCTAAACAGAGGCAGCTGGGAGCTGAACAGTTGGTCTGCATCACGGCTCGGCTCCAAGTCACCCAATTAGTGACTAACACGGCTCCACGCTGCAGCGACGCTTCTTATTATTTAATGACTGTTGCAAAAAAAAAAAGGAAAAAAGTGCTAGAAAATAAAATTTCTGCTAGCAGATAATTGCCGTATTTCAAGCAGATACCTTTTCTTCTGTGTTCAGAAGAAAAGGTGGGTACCATAGATTTAATTGGTTTTCACTTCAGTTGAAAAAAACAAAAAAACAAAAACAAAAACACAGCTCAGTAAAAGATCTAAACAAAACAAAGACGAGCTGCAGAAAAGCCAAAGACGACTTCTCAAGACATTGTTCATCTTTACATTCGTTTTGGGCGTTTGGTGCTGCGTTTAAGCTTTTTTTGTCACTTTGGTGAGATAATAAATTGTAACGTTTATTGTAAATGTTTCTCCAAATAAGGTTAAAACTGGACATATAGGCTAAAATATATCTTTTGGTTAAATGTTCACTAAAAAGCGGTAACTTATGCTTCTAGAATTGTTTTCTATTAGCTGGTTTCTTGGCATAGTTGAAGCTTTTAAGCCCGTCTAGTAGCTTTGCATTAGCCTGCCTCATCCAATCTAAAAACCGTTCTAAAACCTGTTTTTGAGTGAGTTTGGTATCATTATTCAAATGTTTACATCCAATGGGGCATATTTTGTTAGTGTGCTGCTCTGCATCCATCCAACTCTTGTTTCTTTTTTTAATTCTATTGAAGATGTGTGTTGTAGTCACAATTCTCACTGGGAAAAATAAAAGGTTTATTCTAGAAAATCTCCTACCACCGTCTCTACCATCATCCCGTCTGTATGTAAACATCTGACTAGAACTTCAGGAATACTTCAACAGGAGTGGTTATTTGTGGAATTAGATATTTAATTTCCCCAGCCGCTGATTGGATCTTCTTCTATCTGTTAAAGCAACGTGCTTCTCTTTGGTCTGTGACTTCATTAGCTAATCTCCAAGAGGCAGCTTGATGTGGCCAACCTGTGTGTAATGAGCCTGGCAACTTTGCTGGATTAGCACGGGATAATTGGTATGAGATTGCAATCAAAGATTCAATTATGATGCGGGTGCTAACTTATTCCCCCCCTGACTGTTGATTTGCAGTGTGTTCGTTTCAAATAAGTGTTAGTCTTTCCCTGACACTTAATCCCAGACAACGTTTGAGATACGTGTTGACTGTCTGTCTGGATAATTTATTTTTCTGCATTTTGTCACATTACAACCACAAATCTCTTACAGGTTATTGAGCAAACAGCATTATGGAGACCAAAGAATGCACCAAGACGTGTCGGGCACAAAGTTGTGGAGGCGTTTAGAGCAGATTCTAAAATGATAATTCAAGGTTTGAACATCTCATTATGAGATATCTATTCACATAGAGACTTTTAAATATTGCTCCATGACTGAGCTCAGGCTGTTTTGAAAAGAATGGGTTAGTATTTCCGACGTCTCCATGTGTCAAACATTTATCATTTTCACAAAATCACAGTACGCATTACAGTTTGCGGTTGTAACGTGGCAATATGTAAATAAACGCAATGAAAGGCAATGGACACCAGAGGGCAGCAAAGGAAGGAAGCTGGACGGAGGTCTTGGCAATACGTCCACGATGAAAAAGGAAACCCAAAGACCAGCCAAAGAACTAGAATATATAGAAATGTGTATCTGCCTTTAGAAAATTATACTGTTTATAAGACTCTCGTTGTTTTATGTTGCTTCACTAATATACATGTCTTATCTGTTGTAGTTTAAACTGAGGTAATAAAGTTGCTAAGTATTTCCTCTAACAGATAGGTTTAGCTGGATGCATTCGGACATGAATGTATAGTTGTTCTATCTACTGGGTTTCTATGGCGTAGCTGTTGTATTGTTTTGGTTGGGAAATTTGCCTTATGGAGCAACGACTCACTTTCACTAAGGTCAGTCTTTAATGCTTGGATATCACTGTATGTATGAAAATAATGTCATTCGGTATGATTAACAACGCTATTAGGAGAAAATAAAAGAGATAATTCCTCCTCTCGTGTGTTCGTTGCTAACTGAGCGCTAATGTTAGCTAGGTGCACAGTTAGCTGCCAGCTCAGCAGTTGGGTTTATTCTTACTCTTGCTAATGTTAAATCAAAGTGAATGATTGGTACCTCGCGAAAGTCGTTGTCGGCATATATAATACTGCTAAATAAAAATGCATGCTTTCGTCATTAAAGCTGTTAAACGTGGTGATAGCTAGCTGTTAGAACATTAGCATTATGGACTGCAGGTGATGATAGCCACTAACTGCTGTTGGTTCTATAATTGAATTGTTTGTCCCACAGCCCCGGGTATTGTTAGTCGTGAGCATGCAAACTGGGGCTGGTAAAGGTGCCTCTGAACACATATTGCTAATATTGTATTACGTTAATGTTAGTGATAGCTTTCAGAAGCGAACCCAAAGTTAAACAAGTAAATTATTCTCTCTGTACAGGCGAAATGTTTCTAAGATGTATGTCTAAAAATATATATTTTTTAATGTTCACAATATGTATTTAGACAGATGGTGGTTTAATAAGATATTCACAGATATTTATTAGCAACATTTTTTTTTTTTTTTTACTTAAACGTGTAAGCAATACTAAAGGAATCTAGAAATAAGGTTCCGGTTGATGTAACGTTAAGATAGTTGACCATCTATTTAAGTTAAGCTGACCATTTAAAACGAAGCATTACTTAAAAATTTATCTTAACCCCGTTCAGTTTTCTGCATATAAATTCATTCATTCATTCATTCATTCATTTAATTTTATTTAAATGTGGAATACATCAATAATGTGTAATTTGTCTTTTTAGATAGTAAAACCTGACAGTATGTAACAAACTACTCTGCATCGTCGTACTTAACCTTTCTCTCTAGTAATAGAGGTATTCTCTGCTACGTAATTTTATTTCTTTATTCATCTATTTTTTTAATTGAAAGCATTGCTATACCACTATGACACACAAATAATTATTTAATTATTAATTATACTATTAAGTGGGAGCCAAGTTGTAACAAAATTTAAGTTTTATTGACCTTGTGTGCTTTATTACTTTCTCATTGATTCAGTTAGCAATACTTTTTCTTGCATATGGGCATTTTACAATATGTGATAACTCATACTGTTTGAACAAGATAAGTATTACAAGCATGCGTATATAATATTTTAAAATCAAATTTTAAATATTTTGCAGTGTCTTTTGGGGGGGGTTTGCGCTCAAATATTTGAAAGTAGGAAATGTTATATGAATGGATATTATTAATTTGATTATGTTCTATTTGTTTTGTATTAAAAGTCAACACATTTTCTCTTTATATTTAATAACGGCTTTAATATGACTTAATATTTAGACATTTGTTAGCTGTCTTGAAATGGTCCTCAGTTTCTTTTTTCTTTAATAAAGGCTACATTAGTTTCTCTGCTCACACATATAATGATAATCATTTAACAGAATTGATCACTGATTTAAATGCATGTTTCTAAATGCATTAGTTGGTGATTTCTAAGCTTATTTTTTGTTACTGAAACCTCATTGATTACTGTAGAGACAACCCAAGGGGTTGGTCAGTCAATTTCTAAAATGACAGAGATATTTACTTTGAATCTTAAATCTTTTATTTGGGTAAATGGTGTGATGATAAATCCTGCTTTGCTCCAGTCCTTAAATATCATCAAGCTTGTAATCTTTGAATGAATATATATAGGTTGAACCCCAGCAGAGGGCAGTGCTGCACATTTATTAAGTGACGTCTGGAGAGTTCATTCTCATTAGGGGTGCTCATGTTTTATGCGTTCCTATTTGGCTTTAATATGTTTCCATACAGCTAAGCTCTGGTGTCTTTCAGCCCGATCTGTAAGAACTGCATGGGCGGTCCTAGACAGGGGCCAACAGGGGCCAGTCCCCCTGTAAATCTGGTACCGATTCCAGTTTTCGCCCCCATTCTGAAGACATATTATTTAATTAATTGTTTTACAATATGCGGTGGTACAGAAACACCAGTTAATTCCTGCCTTCACAGTTTTACTTTAACTGTGAATTCAAAAATTAAGGTGGTGCACTTTTAGCTTCAGCCGTATTGAGATTGGATCTCAGTTTTGATATATTAAATCATGAAATATTGGCCTTTTTTGTTTTCCAATCTTGTGTACTGAGCAACTGTCAAGACAAGTTTATTTGTAGCAAAGCAGTTCAAAGTACTTTATGCCATAAAAACATAATAAAGCTGCTCAGGGTTTCCCCCAGAAAAACTTGCTAAGCCTGGTGCTAGGGCAGTCATCCAGCCCACCGCCATGTTTTTGAGTTAAAAAATGTTTAAAGTTGATAGGAAACTTGAAAATATCACTTGGTAGTTATTGGAGTACTGGAAAATTAATACCTAAACACCAACTATAAAGTCTTTTAAAAAAGGCAATAATTAAAAATAAATAAACACTGCTAAGCTTGGTGGGGGCACAAGTAAAGGCTGGTAGCCCACCAGGTTTATAATACACCGTGGGAAACCCTGCAGCTACCATTTATGAAACAAGCAATAAACATTATGTTTTATCAAATGGAGCATAAAAACTGAATCTCCATCTTTGGTTCTGCTTCTGGGAATGCAAAGTAGACCAGAACCAGAAGACCTGAGTGATGTGGAAGGTTGATCCAACAATATAACTACTGGTATTTTAAAAAAAATGCTGATCCTAACTTAGCCACTCTGGTCAAAATAGTCTAGAACCGCCATTGATGAGCTAAAAACAAAAATGCTTAAAAAGTCTCACTGAAGAATTGAACCAGTTTTGGTTAGTTCAGCTTGTCAGTTCACACTATTTATGTCTAAATGTCACAATGACGTTTTCCACCTGGTTACACACACATAAATTCTAATTCTGGTCGCCGTACGAATGAAAAGTTAGCATGTTAACGTTTCAGGCGGTACAATCCCTCCGCCCCGTTGAAATACAACTTCTCCAGCATTTTCAGCGAACACCGTTTTCTTTCCCCGTCACTTTCTCATTAATGATTGATAGCGGCAAGACATTTCTATTAGAGGAAACATGGCCAGCCAGGAGGAGAGCTTGGAGCCCAGGCTGGGAGGAGTTTGGATGGAAAGTAGATCCAGCTGCAAAAGGAGCAGTCTATTTCCTGGCATTGCTGTTCACTGCTTCCAATGTGTTTGAGGAAAAAGGAAAAAAAAAGAAAAAAGCTCGACCCACTTTTAGCTGGCAGAGGGTGTCCCATCTGGCTGCTTCTGATAAAACCCTACCTTAGTTAATCACTGACCTTTTTGGATCTTATGTAAATGCATATTAAATTTACCGATATTAAGTTTCAGATTTCCTGTTTTTTTTTTTTTGTTTGTTTGTTTTTTCTCCTTTGTGTTCATTGAAAGTGATGGATGAGCAGACGGGCTCTCCTGCAGGCAACGCTGACAACAACAGCCAGAGAAATGGAGATGAGGTAAGAGGCTAACAAATATCAAATGACACATTTTTCACTTTTTTTCTTTTTTTCCTCTCTTTCTACTTTTTCTACGGAGGGCAGGAAACTCCCACGAAAGCTGCTACCTGCCGCCTTCCCCCTGTCGTATCTCAACTTGTGCTGTTCCTGCAGAAACCTCGACGTGGCAGCTGGACCAAAGGGAGGAAGAGGAAGAAGCCAATGAAGGACAGCAATGCGCCCAAAGCTCCCCTGACGGGCTACGTTCGCTTCATGAACGACAGGCGGGAGCAGCTGCGGGCGGAGCGTCCGGACGTGCCCTTCCCAGAGATCACCAGGATGCTGGGCAATGAGTGGAGCAAGCTGCCCCCGGAGGAGAAGCAGGTCAGGATGAGAAGTTTCCAGAGGGCGCTCGGCTCTTGGGCGCGCAACCGTGAAGAGAAATGTCTGGAAGGCGGTGTTTGTGTTGGCTTCCCGTCGCTGCAGCGGCAGCAGCGCTCAAAACAGGACGGCATCAGAATTAACCAGCAGGCACAATAGATCGTGGAAAACTCTTGTTCTAAGCCAAACTACTAAATGTTAAATTTGTGTCTAAAACTTGTCGCTCTTTAGACCCTAAAACATCGACCTTTTTTTTTTCTTTATGGAATACCTGCACAGAATGTGTACAGGACAGTGACAGTAACCCTAACTAATGACAGCCCTTTATCTTTTCAAGTCAAGTTTATTTATGAAGCGAGTTTCATCAACAGTTAAAAGTGCTTCACACAACAAAAACATAACACAGTAACCAAATATGAAACAAGCAATAAACATTGTTTTGTCAAATCTCATCATCAAAATCATCAAGTAAACACACATCGAACATGTTGATCAATGTTCCAATGGCTGCTTGTCCAAAGCAACTCTAAAAGCAGTCTTTGCAGTTTTCTGGAAGTTTGTTCCAGATTTGTGGTGCATAGAGGCTGAATGCTGCTTCTCCTCATTTGGTTCTGGTTCTGGGGATGCAGAGCAGAACCAGAAGATCTGAGGGGTCTAGATGGTTGGTACAGCAATAACAGATCTTTAATGTATTGTGGTGCTGAACCGTTCAGTGATTTATAAACTAACAGTATTTTAAAGTCTATTCTCTGAGCTACTTTAAAACTGGTGTTGTCTGTCTTCCTGGTTTTAGTGAGAATGAGAGCAGCAGCCTTGTGGATCGGAACTGATTAATATCTTTAGGCAAACCTGTGAAGACACTGCTGCAGTAGTCAACGTGACTAAAGATAAACGCATGGATGAGTTTCTCTAGATCGCGCTGAGACATAAGTCCTCTCATCCTGGAGATGTTCTTCAGGTGATAGAAGGCCGACTTTGTGACTGTCTTAATGTGGCTCTGAAGGTTCAGGTCCGAGTCCATCTCTCCTCCCAGGTTTCGGGCTGATCGCTGGTTTTCAGTTGTAATAACTGAAGCTGTGCATTGACTCTAGATCTATAACTCTATATCATTCCTCTTTAAGTTGAAAGATAATAACTTCAGTTTTGTTTCTGTTCAGCTGGAGAAAGTTTTGGCACATCCACACATTTTTCTGTTCTAAGCATCTGTTCGGTGATTGGATGGGTTCAGAGTCACCTGGTGACATCGTGATGTAGAGCTGTGTATCATCCGCATAGTTATGGTAACTAATCCTATTTCCTGTTATAACCTGAGCCAGAGGGAGCATATAAATATTGAATAAGAGGGGTCCTCGGATTGAACCTTGGGGTACCCCACATGTCATGTGACTTCTAATAAGAAATTGACTACTGAAACTAGGAAGTCCCTGTTCTTTATGTAAGAGTCGAACCAGTTGAGTACTGAGCTGGAGAGTCCGACCCAACTCGATTCAGTAAAATGTCCAACAGAACCAGCACTGTGGTTCTCCCACAGTCTGTGTTTATATGGATGCCATTGGTCACTTTGACAAGGGCAAAGTGATCAATAGTTAAATAGTTTTGTTGTTAAGAAACTATTTAACTATTGAAACATCTTTTTCAATAATCTTGCTGATGAGTGGAAGGTCAGAGGTCGGCCTTTAATTCTACTGAATCTCCAACCTATTTTGGTTTGGTGACTTTTTGTCAGAAAAATCTCTGGCTGTTCTTTTTTCTTCCCTTTTTTTTCTTCCCTTCTTTTAATTAATCTATTTTCCACTAATAAAGAAAACTAGTATTTTTGAAACAGATGCATGGACTTTTGAACGTGTGCCGCCTTCCCTCCGCAGCGATATTTGGACGAAGCGGAGCGAGATAAGGAGCGCTACATGCGAGAGCTGGAGAAGTACCAGAAGACCGAGGCCTACAAGCATTTCACCAGGAAGGTCCAGGAGAAGCAGAAGGGCAAGAGGCACCGGGGAGGTGAGACACGGTCAGGCGGCCAGCCGCCTTTCCCTTTTTTTGGGAGGCGGGGAGGAAGAAGGAACTTCGTGTTAGAAAAGTGTTTTAGTGAGACGCTTCCTGTGTCTGAAGATGTTTGGATAAATCAGTCATCGTTGACTGAGGAGTCCTTTCCAGACTAGATGACTCACAGGAAGTTGAATGTGTAATGAGGGTAAGTGGAGGAGGAAGCAGTCAGGAATGGGTGGTTTCTCTTTTTTGCGTGACCTTTCCGATTCCTTTCACCAAAACATCCAATCACCAAGCGATCAGCTGGAGCTTTGGGTTGCATTAAGTTCAGTCTGTATGGGCAACTTTTGCAGACGCCTGTGTGGTTGAAAGAAAGTCAGGGAAATTTTAAAAGAGTTCTCCTTTTTTTTAAATTAAAATAAGTATTCAACACATCACAATTTCTCATAGTAAACATATTTCTGAAGGTGCTAGAGACATGAAATGTTGAGCAGGTGTTTGTAACAACCCAACACTGCAAAAACAAAAATCTTACCAAAAATATTTTTCTTCTAGTTTCCGATGCAAATATTTTAGTACACTTGAAATAAGGCAAAAGTAACTTTCCAGCAAGATAAATAATTGTGTTTTATGAAATGAAATGACATCAGACTTGCATATAGCACGGTTTCAACCCTCCAATGATTGTCAGAGATGCTTCACATGAAATCAGTAAGTAATTTTTTTTTTAATTTTTAAAAACAATAATTTTAAGTTAATATAGTTTTAAGTCAATAATTATTGAATATAGATACAAAAAGTCCTATTTCCACTGGCAGATTTTTTTACTTAGAACAGGAAAAATGTCCTATAATATATATATATATAATATATATATATATATATATATATATATATATATATATATATATATATATATATATATATTCAATAATTAGACTTTATCTTACTCAAAAGTTACTTTTAACTTAGTCGAGTGTACAAAGATTTTTGTGCTAGAAACTTTGTGAAGATTTTGTGTTTTTGCAGTGAACTAATCCATCCACAGAAAGAAACCAAAACAAGCGAGTTCAGAAATGAAGTTGTGTGTAATAATGTGAAAAGAAATAGGGGAAAAAGTATTGAAAGAAATACCATTAGAAGTGTATTTACTATATAAATATAGTTTATTTCACCCACTGTAAATCAAATCAGAACTACAAATGCTATAAGTGTATTTTGTCCAGTCAGTGAGGAAGTAAAGGTAGCAGTTCAGACAGCTAAACATAAGATTCAATGACCTTCTTTTTGCCATTTTTGGCCATATTTTGCATCTGTTTATCTTGAAATGTTACATCCCCCGCAAAAAAAAAAAAAAAAAAAGTGAGGAAAAACAGCTCTGCTTGGTGAAAAAAAAATCCCCTTTCCACTGAGCTTGAAGGATTGCCTCATTTGAGCTGATTGATATAAAGTGTCGACATTTTTATTGACCTCTCTGTTTTCGTTCATTTCCCTGAGTTCGTAACGAGCCGACGACAGGCCCACAATCCCAGAAAATCTGACTCATCCGTGATGATGTCCCCTTCATTTACTCTTTCCTTCCTCTCCAGATGTTGGGCACCAAGTCGCCAGCGAGGCTCTTCATGAGGTCAGTAAGTCTTTCCTGCCTGGTGGTAACGCTCAAAATTGCCCTTCATAAGTGCTAACTATCATATTTCATTAGGGGAAGAAACCCTCTTCTAGTTCACTTAAGAGTTTCATGTGTTACACAACCCTATTAAGTCATGGGGTGAAAAGCTCTTACCTAAGGGGTTTGTGACTTGGGCCACAAAATGAGCTGGACGTTTTATGAAATGATCACAAAAACATTAACAACCAAAAAAAAGATGAGTATTTAAATCATTTTTACAACATTCTGCTTCCTCAATAACTTCAGGGATGTGGAAAATCCAGCTGAAGAGAGTGGATTTCTTTTTCTTTATGCTTTCCTCAAGGAGCAGCAGGCGGTTATGAAAGAGAACCCAAACCAAATGGATTGATGAAACCATTTCACTCACCAAGATCTCTCTGGGCAGGACATTTCATACTTCATCAGAACTGAAGTGCAGAACTCCTGGGAAATCTTGGTGCTGTCAGTTCCTCCCACAGGAAAGAGGTTCTGCCCATAGTAAATGTGCAAAGAACAAGCTGCAGTAATTCCCAAAGCACAACGATGGAACGGTGACTGGGTTGGTCACTGTAGTTTCTGTGCTGTGATCCGCAAAACTGAGGCTGTGATTTTTCCACAACTCGAGAGTCTTTCTGTGAATTCAGTCAGCGCTCAAGTAGCTGTAACTCCTCAGAAACAAATGTCCAAAGCTGGAAATATCCAGGAGTTTCACGATGAATTCACATTGATTAAAGTGTTTAGTTCACTTTAATCAAACTCTAGTTCATTTGCCCAAAAAGTCTGGTTCCTTTGTGAATGTGCAATCGAACTCTGCAAGCAAACTCCGGTCCACCTTAAATCCTAGGTGTCTGTTCAGTTGAAGTGAACTCTGGTGCAGTTTGCATTTCAATGCAAGCAGACGGGTGACTGCGCCCAATGCAGGAAGTGGATTATGCTGCCGGGCATTCTGGGTAAATCCAACCAAAGCAAACATGCGAGTCTGGCGTTAGTGTGAGAAGTGGCTTTTGGTCTTTTACCAAAGACAAAAGAGAAATCTTGCAACCACCACTCCATTTTTGTTCACATTTTGTCGTCTTAGGAGGTTTTCTTCTTGTTTCCTTCAGTAGTTCTTGGTTCAGCGCCACCTCAGGCGAGGAGGTGAACATGTTTTTCAAAGGGTTTGGTTCTTTTGATGCAATGTGGTGTGAAAGCGAACCGCAGCAGCCCAAAATGTAGAAAAAAAAAAAAGTTGCAAATTTTGTCCCCAGTTGAACCGAGTCTACCGGACTATCAGGTGTGAAAACACCCTCAATCAGAGGAAGCAAGCTGAGCACTTTCATTGCCAAGATTTTCTATAGAGGTGAGATGTATGCCTACTGCAGTCAGCGGTTTTAAAAAATACAGTGAGCTATCTTTGTTGTTGGCCAGAGTATTGGGAATATACTAGGTGAGCATCATATAGGAGACTTTTGAGTTAGGAAATAACAAGTGATTGGGATAATTAAGGAAGGACTGCTTATTTGAAACGGACTTAAAAGATTGACTGAGCATATCTAACATGCTCTGATGTGGTGTTTTATTATATGATATTTTGCTACATAATTGTTCAAATATATATATATATATATATATATATATATACATACATACACACACACATATCAAACTTTTTTATGCACTAGAAAATTGGCCACATTGTAGGAAAGAAATGATAAACATGCAGACGGAGCTGAAAAATAATTGAAAGTTATTAAATGTGCTTTACGCTCAATGGAAAATCTTGACAGTATTGACCGAAGTTGATGTTATGACTCAGATTTTTTTTTTTTTTTTTATGCATGATTGTGTGTGGAACAATAAAATCTAGTCATGCTGGAGAGGGATGGTTTTCTGGTTTGTTCTGAAAGCTGGTAAGTCATGGGGGGGAACTTCTGCTATTACATTTTAGCATGGCTCTTTCTGAATAAATAATTCCATTGTGAAACATGTCATGTGGCGTTGATGAGAGATGGATACGCATTAACTGTGGGTCTGGCTGTTTTATTTTGAAAATGCATCCAGCAGCAGGCCTGCCTTGTGTTTGTCAGCCTGCAAACAAACACAAGGCAAGTTGTAGATTGTAGATATGCAATCCTGACTGAATTTACTGGCACCTCCTGATAAGGATGCGTGAAGAGCCTGAAAACGATTTCATGTAATTATAGAAAAATTCAATTTGTTTGATGCGAGTGAATTTATTCAGGGAGGAGAAATGTCATCAGCAGGGCCAGATTTACTTGGATGGAAACCATTTTGGTGCCGTACTCACTAAAGAATTACATTTTTTTGCTAATTCAAATTATAGCGCATTATTAAACATGTATTTATTTAACCTTTGTTTCACCAGGAAAAATCCACTGAGATTAAAAATCTCTTTTGCAAGAGAACCTTGGCCAGTACTGGCAGCGCCCCACAAAACATTCACAACAAATTGAGTATTGTTTATAGTTGAAAAAATCCCAAAAGTATTACTACAGTTCACCTTACATGGATCTATGACTCTTATATAAAGTACATTTTTAGCAAAACACACATTCATAAATAAATGTGTAAGGTGTCCTCCCCTAAAACATCTGGCGCCCTGGGCTACTGGCCCTGATAGCCCTTTAGGGGAGGACACCTTACACATTTAATTTTTATTTATTTTTTTTTTATGATCAGAAGTTAAATTGGACTTTCTAGTCTTCATACTTATATTTAAGGTTTCATTGGTCAACTCCCCCCAATGAAATCAGATAAAACTCCTAATATTTTAATAGAAATTATTGTTTTAAAAACCCCTCATACTTCTAAACCTTCCAAAATAGCAAAAACCTCCACAAAGTTTGGTTTGTAGATCTTATTGATGTGCGAAATTGTAACAAGAAAACAGATTCAGACTTCTGCCAAAAAAAGGGGAAATGGGCCGTCTCTTTTTTCATGGCTTTCTTGGTCCTCAGAACTAAATCCTTTAGAAAACTTGCAGGGTGAGCTGGAGAGAAGAGTGAATAAGAGCGTATACCCAAGACTCTGGATCATCTCCAGAGACGTTCACTCAGTTGAACTTAAGAAGCCCGTACCGCCTCTAGCTGCAAGTTCCAAAACAAGAGAGAGTTCCTCCAAAGGAAGATCGCCGACTGCTACATCAGTGACCCTGCATTTAACACAAGGCGAGAAAATACCATGGTTTATTTAATTTTATTTGGGGGAAAAAAACATATACCAAAGACGCAAAATGCTACTTTAAGTGTATAGAAATGAACTGCTAGTTTAATTGATCAACTCCAAGGCTGTATAATCCGTGTTCCCCCCTGGGAGCGCCGTTGGCCCTTCCTCTGGCACCAAACGTTTAGTGCTCATTGTTGCACGACTGAAGCCGGGGGTTAATCCTCCTTAGACCTGTGTTTATGATCCAAACGCTTAGCTTCCACTTACCGTGCAATTCATTTTTATTAACTTCAGCATGTAATTAAGAGACTTTTTTTTCCGTCTTTCCTCTGTAGCTACTTTCAGAACCTCGCGGAGGGTTGTGGCCAAGGTGACTTAACCGGGATGAGCGTTGCCGTGGGAATAGTGTCGCTTCCTCCCACCCCGCTCCTTCCAGATTAGCACCAGCAGGGGGATTCAGCATGAATGTCATTATGCTGGGGTGGGGGGGGGATGAAGAAGGATGGCGAGTTGTTACAAAAGGAGGGAGTGAAAGCTCTATTGTATCGTGTTCTTCTGTTTCAGCGCCTGTTTTTAGAGCAGATTTATTGCACAGCCTTTCCTATCTCGGATGCAGAAATGATGAAATTACTTCCATCCCCGCATTTCATAAAAACTGTATCGCAGTGTACGTCTTGTGGCCAGATAGAAAATCAATTACCAGCCCACCCAGAGCCAAGTAAGATAAATGACTGTGTCTGGCAGTTCGGCTAATCTTCCTCCCTCTCTAATGTCTTTGGCTGTAAACAGAAAGACGCGGAGGGAAAGGACAGGACTGTGTTTGACATCCCAATCTTCACGGAAGAGTTTCTCAACCACAGCAAAGGTAAAAATAAAGGAGTCAGGAGGACGACTTAAGTGTCTGAGCGAACCCTTAGAGCAGGAGTGTCAAACTCCATTTTTATGTTGGGCCATATCAAAAATCTGAATGCTCTTAAAGGGCTGTGTTGATGAAACCAATTAAACTGTTAAAATATAAGTAAACAGCTGTTCGCCCAAGACTGTTTTAGTGCTTTTTTTGCAATCAAAATTACAGATTTTGTGAGTAAATTTTTTGTAAGGTATTTTACTACGTGCCATATCAATTGCAAACTATAACTTGACATCAAGTAAGGCTGAAGCAGCAGTCACTTCAACTCAATGTTTTTGACCTATTTGAATAAAATTTGCAGTAAAAGCAGAAAAAAATTTAGAGATTTGTTGATTTTGTGTGAATTTTTCAGATTTGTGAAAAACTGGAAGGACTTAGTTGGAGTATAGAGGGCCACATAAAAAGCTACAGCGGGCCAAATCTGGCCCCCGGGCCTTTAGTTTGACACATGTAAACCAAGAGTTGACTCTTAAGAGCATGTGTGTGTGTGACTGTGGATTTTTTTCCCCCCCACACCGTTAGCGCGAGAGGCCGAGATGCGGCAGCTGCGCAAGACCAACATGGAGTACGAGGAGCGCAACGCGGCCCTGCAGAAGCACGTGGAGAGCATGCGCGGGGCGGTGGAGCGGCTGGAGGGCGACGTGATGCAGGAGAGGGAGCGCAACGGGCTCCTGCACCAGCACCTGGAAACCCTGCGCCAGGCGCTCACCTCCAGCTTCTCAACGGTGCCTCTGCCAGGTGAGAGAGACAGCGCCCTGAAAAGTGTCGACGAGTCTTTGACCTTTTTGCATTTTGCCATGTTGCACTGTGTGTCGGCACATCCTTAAAAAGACATTTTAAGATTAAGGACTTAAAATGTTTTAATTTCAGTTTTAAAAAGTGTGCTGGCCATAAATACGTCATTCACAGGTCTTAAATTTTATCATGGCAGGTGTATTTAATCTTTTATATTTCATGTGGTTTTTATTCTCGCAGGACGTTCTGTCAGGCAACAGTTTGACTCACACACAGGTCACTGTTACTAGCTGCTAACATACTATCGCTAGCTAGTTAGCTAGCTTTTTCTTAATATTTTTTCCAGCGTACAGTGCGCACCGGGACTACTTCTTATTGTGTTGTAGCAAGTGTAACAAGTGCAAGATGGTGTGTGGCAGAAAAGTAGCACTGCGCATTTTGCCAAACAAAACACTTTGGAAATTAAACATGATTGCTGTTTGGTCAACTATGGTCAATGTTGATCGAAAGATGGATGGAGGTAAATAATCCAGTGAGAAAACCAGTTAGAAGCTGCAAAGCACTTAAGACCGTTGCAGAGTTTCACCAACAACAACCCTGAACATTCAGCCAGAGCTACACATGTTCACGTGCTGCAGCCGTCCAATCAAAATCCAGTCTTGAATCTGCCATATCTCCCACATATACATGGAGTTTGCTGCATCTCATGTACCAAGCTCGTTTTTTTTAAACAGTTGTAAACATATTAGTCATGTTGCAACATCTGCAGTGAGTTGTCCTTTGTAACTTTATTTCACATTGATATTATTTCCCACGCATTTTAGCTCTCCTGACAGCAGCCCTGCAGACTCGGCAAACACCAGGAATAAACATAATAGGCCCATAAATTATTGCATCAGAGCTCCATAATGAAAGATGATTACAAAACTTCAGGTAGTGCCTCTGGGGCGTTTTTTCTTTTTGCACTTCCTGTTGAAGAGCTTGTAAATTAAACTGGGTAGAACGAAGCCTTGTGTGCTTCTTAGTTTACAAAGAGCAGGTTTGGATTTATTTTCCCCACTTTGATTGTGTTTATTTTTTTTTAGTTGTTGGACTTAAATCAAATGAAATTACAGCTGTTTATGTTTCCAGGGTTACGACTTAGCCACGGGTTCTCCGCATGTCTTAAACTTTATTGGGAAATCTTCCTATAACAGTAAGGCACGCTTTTGCTTTCATAAGAAGATTTTATTGGCGGCGGTTCTGTAAATACGGAAGAGGATAAGGGCCACTGAAAGGAAAATTGCCTCTTTTTTTCCCTCAGAGTTCTTAGAGTATCTTTGGTGTTTTTTGTTTTTCCTCAGTGGCTTTAATCCTCCTCCATTCACAAATCACGCAAGTATCTTTTTAGTACGTTTTTCTTTAAACGCAGAATGGAAACATTGAGTGCTTTCATGTATTAAAAGCACAATTTAAAGTAATTACAAAGTAAGCATAGAAGCTTTAAAGAGCTAAAACTGCAGGAATAAAGTGCACAAAACGTCAAACAGAAACTTCACTGATAGTTTAGCCTTCAACAAAAGACAGAAGGCTGGAGAATCTTCTACAGAGAAGTGAAACTGGATTGGAATAAGGCTGAAAAGTGAAGCCTCTTTCCTCCATTTTTCGACTCGAGAAATTCCAGTGAAGCGTGAGTGAGCCCGCGCTCTGAGGACGATCTCTTCTTGTGAGGTTATGGGGAACAATAACATCATTTAGCTCATTAAGGGCTTTCTATGGGATGAAGAGGATTTTATATTCTCCGCATGTTTGTGCCCGACTGCAACTTAGCTGCAGCGTTTAGGATCAGCGAAACGATTTTAAGCAAATTGTCTTGAGACCCCCGTACAAAAATGCCATCGCAGTCACGCGGCCTGGAAGTAATAAACGCCTGGAATGGGTTGCAGCTTCACTTGGGACGGGATGCCTGTGAATGTGGCGCATTGAAGGAGAGAATGGGAGAGTTAAAATGACGAATCCGCATGGGCAGTAGCAAAGTGATTACAGGTTATTGTCTTGTTTGAGACACAGATTCTTGCTGAACTTTTTCACATTTTGTCATAGTTGATTATTTGTTTTGTTGTGTTTTTTTTTCCAACACAAAATATGAAGTGGAATGAAAATTAAATGGGTTTTTTTTTTAAGTTGGCCTGTCTGTTGTGTTCCCTCCACTGCAAAAACACAAGATCTTAAATATTTTTTGTCTAGTTTCTAGTTCAAATATTTTAGTACACTTGAAATAAGACAAAACTAGTAAGTTTTCACCAAGATATTGGAGCTTGTTTTAAGTCAATAACTCCTTCATATTGATGGAAAAAGTAAGAGGAATAATCTGTCATTAGAACAATAACATGGACAAAATGTCCTGTTCCTCTAGGCAGATTATTTCAGGTTATTATACATCATGGCGTTTTGTCAAATGTGGAGTTTAAGACGTAGTAAACACAGTGATCATGGCAGAGAGAGACGACTATTATGAGTTTGGAGTGGGAGGAAATAATGATTGATGCGCCGCAACATCTCATTTTGTTTTCCATGTTGTTGCAAGCCAAAAAAAATAAAAAATACCCAGAAGGTGTCTTTGGAACGTTAGCCTGCTACGTTGGACGTTTTGGTCTAAAAGTATGTCGTTCCTCGGACAATCGGTCCCCAGAACTATCAATCCTGCTGTTTTCCAGATAAACTCAAAAATTCTCACCAATCGCCCCCTGGGGTAGTTTCGCATGGGCAGGGGGGCGAAACTGAGAAGGGGCTCAGAACAAAATGACGATTTCCACTCGTCGATGAGCCCTTTAGGTTGGGTGAAAACTTTCAGATTTTCATTTGTAAAAAAAAAAAAAGAAAATGTCAAAAAGCCACGAATCATTTTCCTCCCACTGTGAGACGAACCTTTACGTACTCTCGTTTTGTCGTAGAGAATCTCAATAAAGCATGCAAAAGCATCGGAGCAGATGTGAAGACGTTCAATAGGTACGAAAACGCTTGCGATGCCAATCTGAACACTGAGGACTCGTGCTTCCTGTCTGTAGGCAGTGGAGAAACCCCGACCTTCGACACCATCGACTCTTACATGAAGAAGCTCCACACCGTCATCATCAGCAGCCCCCAGGAGCACGAGAGTCTCATCAACACAGTGAGAGACGTAGTCAGCCGCCTGGACAGGTAGGGACGTCTTTCACTACGTCTACTTTAGGGGTGTATTTTTTTATATTTCTCTCTACCTGATTGACAAAACAACTGAACCCGGAGGTTTGTTCATCTGGTGTCTAGGTGAATCAATGGCGCTCACTCTGAACTCCAAACGCTTTTTTTCTTTTCCTCATGTTCGGAGCAGATAATCGGATGGAGTTCACCTGATCTGATGGACCGGGATTCGTCTTCAAGACGTTTCATCAACTTGTCGTCTCCCAGTCGAATTACAAAATGTCCAGACTCTGCTGTGGTCATATTGGTGAATGTGCGGTAGCTTCTCATATTAATTTATTTTGTCCCCAACAGTTTACACCCGATCGGTAGGGCGGTAGTAATCTTTTTGAACCGGACATTTTCTGTTGTTTGCATCCTGTCCATTCACGTCTGCCTCCTCACCAGACCCATCACTATCATACATGATGTGTTTGCATTAAGCCGTTGCCGAGAAATATCCCTGACATGTCTGTTACTCTCGTATAATTAGTCGAAGGAGAAGAAAAAAACTTGTGCCATTATTTGTTTTTCCAATTGTGAAAAGTGTTTGTATTTTCAATAAAAATGTTTTCATCATTCAATTTTCCGTTTTATGACAACCTCAGAACTACAAAAGTAAACATTTAAACGTTTATGTATTTGCTTTTGTAAAAAAAAAATAAAATCCAAAAATTAACACAAATACAGGAAATAGTCAAAACGTTTTCCCCTAAAATGATAAAAATGTATTTATATGTATTCTGTAGCTAGAGAATTCTGGATCAAAAGTTTATTTTAGGTACAAAAAGTCTGAAATACGCCCATATTTTCTAGTGTAATGTATATTCTGATTAGTTATACATTGTTTGTCTTCATTTGCTTGTTCTGTATTTTTTGTTTTATATTTTCTGGCTGCATTCTTTGTTTTTCTTCTTGCGATTCGTAGTTCTGGAGCAGGACGTTCCTGTTATTAAGCTGGACTTCAAACTCCATGGTGCAGGAATTATACTTTAATTTAAACCTGATAAACACCACTAATACTTCAACTTAGAATTTGTCTCAAAGTTTTAGTTTCCAAACCAAATTGTACAAATGGGAAAAAAGAAAAAGTTAAATCAATTTAAGAGGGTTTAAGAACTTCTCAGGTTTCTAGGGGTTTAAAGTCTTTGCACTATATCCATAAATCATCTGTGGCTAATCGCCACTAATTTGCCAACCTGCTCGGTTTGTAGCTAATCTTATTTACTCCCAGTTTATTCAGCCAGTTAAGCAGCTCTTCAGAGACGCCGCAGTTGGATTTGCTAAACACTTCGACTTTAAAAATTAAAGTAAATATTCCCGATTTAAAGCCTATAAATTTTAATGTGAATAAACAGATTTGCTTTAAATAATGCATTCCCGTTCGCCGACACCCGTTTAATTTCCAGCAGAAATGCTTTCCGCCGATGAATGCCATCCTGATTGTGTGTGTGGATGTGAAAGTGGCACATTTCTAATCTGTGTGCAGGAGAAGACTTTGACATCTGACTTTAAATAAATCACTTACGACTTTTGCTGTCATCTCGTCTACCAGTGTATTGTGCAGTTAATATATAAAATAATAGGACAGCTGCATGTTTATGTGCATTCACAGTATTCAAGCCGTAGAAAAGCGCCATCATTTCTGCGTTTGAATTCTTCTTATTTATGGACAGAGAATCAATCGTTGCCACAATGCAACATTTGAAGTCGGCGGCCGGAGATTCCCAGGATCAGTCAGTCCTGAAACTGGGCGTGTCGTCAATCCAGCAGAGCCTTAACTTTATGTAAGGTGTCTGCTCTGCTGCTCAGCACAAAATGCAGTGTCATGCTGATGGATTACAGACGTTGGTTAACTGACCTCATTAGCTAGTAATGTACGATACTCTGAAAAGTATTCACGCCACAAGAGCTTTTCCAGATTTTTTTCACTTTGCAGCAATATTGACCTAAAGTTTTATCACACTATTATTTTGTGGTGCTGTTGTGCTATTGCCACTGTTTTCCAACAGTGGAACGATGAGACCAAAACATATTCGTCTTATACAGTGGTCCAGTCAAAGTCCAGACCTAAATTCATTGTAGCAAGACCTAAAAATGTACACTCACAGACACTCTCCATCCAATCTGACTTGACTTGAGCTGTTTCACAAGAAAAAATGGGCAAAAAATAAAGATCAGTCTCTCTAGAGTGCACATGTAGAGAAGCACCCTAAAACAAATGTCCAGTTGCTGCTACAGCAACAGATAAGCCAGATAAGATAATAACAGATTTTTTTGTGATGTGATCTAATGTAAGGGACTGCATCCATTTAAGCCACACCAACATATGGTTACAAAACCTTATGCAACAACAAGAATGAGTTACTGTGACCTTTCATAAGCATTAATCTGCTGAAGCTGGAGTGTGTCCTGCAGCTGTGGACAAAACCAGCCTCTGACTGCGGCTGGAGGAGAGGCGAACGTTAGCAACGCTACGGAAAGTAGTGCCAGCCGATTAAAAATTTTTCTTGATTGAAAAATAAAAGCGTCTTCCAGAAAGAGAGAGAGAAAAAACATCAACGGTCACCAAAGCAAATGAAGCTCGTCCCGAGAACATAAACACCCGACTTCATCCATATTTTATCTCTTGCTCAAAAGTTAAGTTCCTCTTCCTGGGAATGTCATCCAGCTCCTTTTATGAGATCCCTGATGAGATATGCAGCCTAATCCAACCATGGCCAATCTTCTTAGAGCCGAGGAAATCTTTTGCAAAGTTCATGCCTGCTTAATGTCATCCCTGGAGGAGCAATGGCTGGAAAAAAAAAATGCATGCTGGATGAAAAATTTGGGAAGTGAACAGTGTCAGCCCGTTAAAGTTGTTTACCTTTCGGTTTATGGTGTCATCATGCAGATGTGCGCCGCTCGCTTGCTGTGTGCAGTGGGTCTCAGAGCTCGTTTGTATAATGAGCTTAACTGGAGCGCTTTTATTATCATTATTGTTATTATTTGGTTTTGCTTTGATGTTGCCCAAAAGCTGTGAAAACACCATGGAAAAAAAACAAACCATAATGAATGCTGATGTTCCAGGGCTTCTGCTTTGTGGGTTAGTTATCCTCTCTTTTCCAGGTGATGATGAGGAAAATGTGTTTTTAGTGAACAGCTGGAGAAGAGAAACAGCTTTTCTGCCTTTTCACTGTGTATCAGCAGCAGTTTTTAATACGGGCCATATGGCTCACAGCTCAGGGCGCTGTGTGTCAGGGGGTGTCAGAAGACATTTGAAAAAAAATTAACAAAAAGAAAAAAGGTCATGTTACTATTGCTTATTGTTGTTTCCATTCAACAGGTAGTGTGTGTCCCTGTTGCTTAGCATTGTTGGAGAACTAGCTCAAAATCTAAATGGCCTAGACCAAGGCTCTGCACTGCAGCTCTTTAAATTTGACCTAAAATGTAAGACAATAAAGAAACGTAAAGGTAAAAGAAAAAAAATTGCTAGTTCCTGCATTTTTTGTAATATTTAAGTTGTATTTGCATAGAATTTCCACGAATACGAGAAATTTGTTTATTGTTTCTTCAGAAATTAGATGTAAACAAAATCACGTAAGTTTTGTGACTTTACATTATTTCTGAAGGATCGAGACAAAAATGGCATAAAGATCACTAACCTCTGACTTAAGCTAACGAGACAACTCAAAAAAAGAATAGAAAATCTGTATTCTGTGTGGAAAAAAATTTTAAAAAAGAGCATCTCAATGCATTTTTTTATTTTTTCATCATTTTGTATTTACTGCCAAGCAGATTATTTCATGCTGATTACAGATTCTTTAAAACCATTTGGATTTGGAAAACAAAATGGAGAGCACTTTTCTTAACATTTTGTATATAATAGACAAAAACTAAATGATTGTGATACATTTACACATGACTTAGGATTTATATTACACAGCCTAATCCCTAAAGTAAACAGCTAAAAATAATAAAAGAATAGAAAACTAATAAACAGGAAAAACAAAAGAACTCAGCACTAAGCGTCATTTTCTTAATATCTCAGAAACACTGTGACTTTTGACCATATATTTCTTCAACATTTACTCCCTTTCCTCTAACAATACAAGAGAACTTCTCTAATAGAATTTTTTGTGTGTCTGTGTGTTGCCTCATTGTTGTGAAGTCCATAATTACGCATTCTTTACGGTAGGGTTGATGCAATGCCCCCTCTTGCCCTCCCTTTTTTTTTTTTTTTTTCTTCTGGCCTCTGAAATAAACACCATCCCCTTCAGTCTTTTGTCTGAACAAAGAGACACTCAGAAGAACACAAACACCTTCTGCAGCTCCTACGCGGGGGGCTCGTCCGGGTTGTTGGCCGCCATGTCCTGGCCCGTGGAGCACAGCGGGGTTGACGTGAGGACAGAGGAGCCAGCTCCAGCAGAGAGCCACACAGATCCTGGACCAGTGGAGGGACGGAGGGAGGGAGTGACTCAGAGGAGAGAGGATGAGTCAGTGCGTCATGTGCTGAACAGGCAGGCGGAGGTATCAGTGTCCTGAATGGTTTCTCTTCCCGCGGTGTCACGGGCCGCTGTGGTCAAACTGAGCCACCTTTTGTCAGGGAGTCGGGCTCTAATCCACTGTGCACATTTGTGGGAATCCTTTACCGTTCGCAACGGATAACAGACGCGAATGAGCGTTTCAAAGTTTCACTGGGGATGGTCTGGTCCTGAATATAAATTTGGGTGAAAACACTAGTAACTTCTTTGCAGCAGTTTCTCTCATTACAATGTGTTTTGTTGGGATTTTATGTGATTGACCAACACAAATTAGCATGTAATTGTGAAAACAGAAACAAAGGACGTGTTTATATTTAGTGCCCTCACCCCATAGTCAACACTTTATATGGACCCTTTATGGTGTAATTACAGCTCTTTTTCTATTTTGGTATGTCTACAATGTTGTTTTTTGCAAAGGTTTTTGTCAGCCTGAAACATTTCCATTAACTCTGACCAGCCGGCTGTCTCACCTTGACGAAGCGTCCTGCTGCATGATGCTGCCACCACCACCACCATGTTGCTTCTCCTGGATCAAGCTTCTGGAGAACAACTGATCACACTGTTTCGTTTAGTTTTTTGTCAGGGTCTAGTCAAATCAAGTTTATTTGTACACCAACGGGGCAGTTCAAAGTGCTTTTAGGTCATAAAAACATAACGGTAACCAATTATGAAACAAGTAGTTGTCTGTCAAATGTAACCTAAATCATTGAGCAAATATACATCAAATATTTTGATCAGTGTTCCAGTTTATTAATCAAAGACAACTAAAATAAAAACTGGGTTTTTAGCCTTGATTTGAAGTCTAGAACTAACAAAGTGGACCACACTTTACAGATTTTTATCATCACTTCCGGTCCACTTAACAATTATGCACTTTTTTGTGTAAGTCTATGATAAAAAAAAAATCTGTATAACATACAGATTTTACATGGCTGTAACATGTCAAAATGTGAACAGGTTTAAGGGGTAAGAACCGTTTTGCAAGGTGGTTTTATTTAAGCACACTCATCTGTTTGTTTTCAGCTGAGGAATAACTGAAATGATCTTCGCCTGGTGAGAAAAAAAGGGAAACAATAGTCATCTTCCTTCATTATTTCACTCCTCCACACTTGGAAAATCCTTGGTTTCGACGCTCGGCAGTGAGGAGGGGGATAACAATGCCTGGAATGTAGGGGGAAAAAAAGAAAGAACTTGAGTCATTCCCACGGGTCGACGTCTGGTTCAGCTCCTCCTCCTCATCTCAGGTTGTGAAGGTTTCAGGTTCCTCTCACACTGGATTCTGTCTTTCTTGGAAGGTGACTTGAGAAGTCATCACACATGACAACTTTTGATTTTTAGGGAAAATCTCCATCGGCAAAGGTTGCAGATCTCACCACAAACTGCTGTCAACTTTTTGTGAACGATCACATTTTAAAGGATGACTCTTTCATCTACTTGTAATACTTAAAAAAAAAAAAAAGTCTTGGAAAGAATAGCTCTTTTTTCTAATTAATTCAGATCACGGCATTTCCCCACAGAGCCCTGGGGCGGCTGAAGGAAGTGATTTCCTTTTTCCAGTGGTCATTTATCCCTCACCGAATGCATTATGTCAGTCGGGCTGCACTCGACGCTTTTTAATAAGCATCACAGACTCACTCTCACTGTGGCTTTGTGCTGTGCATATGTTTACTCCCTGCTGATTCACTGTGTTTCCTCCCCACCCCTACCAAACAAACAAGGATTTGAATAAATTAGACTGACTGACATAAAGTTTCTACTTTGAAGTGAGCCTCCGTAACTTCCTGTGAACAAATGCAGCCGTAGGAAATGGATGTGTGTAAATGCCACAACGAGTTACAGAGTAATATTCCAAAACAGAAAAGCAACTGCAATAATTCCTCGTCCGAGGGTTTGCTGACTGTAGTTGCTCTAATTCTAAACGAGCCAAGTCAGATTGACTTAAGGTTTAAGCTACTAATGCCTGAACTGCTCTGTGTTTATTCACCATGCTTGTGGGGTTCCCCAGGGTATGATCTTAAGTCCAACATTGTTTCTTTTGTACATAAACACAGTAGCTCTCAGGAGTACACCTGTTAAGATGGGAGGTACTTCGTGTTGTAAAATTCTATATTTCTAAGTCATTTAAAAAGTTTTTTACAGATATAATGTGACACATACCCTGTTCAAAATAAGTAAATATATTAAATTATAAAATATTAGAGAAAAAGATCTTTTTCATTCAGGTTCAGCATTCGATTTGTCTTACTTCACACCTACCATCATTTATAGTGAATCTGACAAACGTTAAAAAATATTTGGCTGTGTTAGTAGGATTTTTATTTATTTATTTTTGGTATTTATTCATTTGGCATTTCCTCGCATATAATCTTTTAGGGCAGATGTGTCAAACTCAAGGGCCAAATCTGGCCCACAATGGCTTTTTATGTGGCGCTTTAGATTCTATACTAAACACTGAGTTTGCTTAAATATGTTATCAATCAAATCAGTGTAGTTTTTATCTGTTTACTGGCAAATTATATCAGACTGTCCCTCCAGTTTTTTGAGAATTCTCCTGGAAATTCACACAAAATCAGCAAATTGTGCTAATAACTGGGAGCTTATTGCAGATTTTTCCTCTAAAATTGTCAGAAACTTTCTTACTTGTACTAAACAGCTGCCTCAGCTTTAACTGATGTCAGATTATAGTCCATGATCTATACAGCAAGTAATAAACAGTGGCACTTACCATTGTAAATAAGCGCAAATATTTCCAAATTAGTTCCACAAATAGTTTGATTTTTATTGCAAGAAATCACAAAAAGAATCACAAAATCTTGGAGGGACTGAGAAGGTGTTTAATAATATTATTTAACTTTAAGAATTCATTGATATTTTTAACAGTTTGTGAACAGGTTTTATCAACACATTTCGGCACAACCGGCGCTTTAAGAGCGTCCATGATCTTGATTTGGCCCAAAACGAAAATGAGTTTGACACCCCTGTTTTAGGGTAATGAATTAAGGTATGTTAGTACAGGTAATAGATAGAAAATACATTTTATTTTTGCCTTGAAATGTACAAAACAAAAGGTGATAGCTTCTAAGTGTATCACCAATATGTAATTTTCAAGGAAAGGGTGAAATCACTTTTTATGTGTCCTCCTGTCCCGTTTTACCTGTTATCTACTCAGCTTGCGCCCTGGAGGAATGACATTGTTGACCATAACAAAAAAACCGCTACGTGCGGCAGGTTAACAGGCATAAAGCTTGTTAAAAATAACTGAGTGAAATCAAAAGCAATGCTCACACTATGCACAATGTGAGGTTTGTCTCACACAATTTGGATTTTGAAGCCAGTTCGGCGTCACTTTGAAACTGCGCGTGCACGCCTCCTTCTGGCTGGCCCAATCTCTCCGCTGCGCGCGCTCCCGCATCACCTCGGTGGAAGAAAAAAAGAAACTGCTGCGGCTGTTGCAGGAGCCACGCAGAGCGAAACCACAGACTCCAGTTGGAGTTCAGCTACTCACTCCCGGGTTTTTTAGGGGTGTTTTTCTGCGGGGACGTCAGTTCAGTCGAGAAAAAGGCTTGTCAGGACCCGGATTTATTATGACCAAGTAGTGGGAGCGGTGGCGGCGAGGAGGCGCGAGGCGAGGTAAGGAAAAGTTAGCCCGGGCTTCCTTTTCTCTCTCATTGAAAGTGTCTCAGTCACAAAGTCTGGGCATTTTTTTCTTACGGATACAAGTTCCAGTTCGTATAGCTGAGGGTGAGTCGTGTGTTCCTGAGTGACTCTGCGTTTAAAACGCTAGCTGCTCGGGGTTTCCAACCTTCAGGGATGCGAGAAGTTTTCAACCAGTCGAGTTTTTACCCGACTGTAACGTTAGCTGCTGCTGCTGCTGCTGTCAGGAGTTCAGTAAGTAAGGCTTAAATACTGAGGGGCTCGGTTCGAGTACACCAGGTAAGGTAAAGAGCTAGCACCAAACTCTTGACCGGTCTCTGTTTACTAAATGGGCTGGACAACGCTTGAGTTAGTTTTGCCCAAGCTGGGGTCTTTAACGGGGAGTGGTACATGGTTGCGTTTCAGAGCTGCAGCATGTCAGCAGCGCTCTCCACACTGTAGTTACGGACAGGGAGCCATCAGAACTGACACCTGCCAGGTTAGTATTTGTTTAATGTTGTCATACTCGCATTATTTTCATCCCGTGTTTATTCGCTATTGTCAGATTTTATGCTACTTCTTTAATTTATCTGAGCTCAGCCAGGAGTAATAATGTTTGAGTTGGACTTATCTGACTGATACCAATTACCTTTGGAGTATAAACCTGCCGATTCTAATATTGGGTAATCCTGTTTAGTTATATTTTTAAAACTATTTCCTTTAAGGACAAGCCACTTTATCTGTATTTGAGATGAAATGATAATGGCTTTAATGGTTATCTTTTAGGCTGCATGAAATCAGAAAAATATTTAACTGCAACTACTTTACCTCAGTTTTCCTGACGCATGTCAATGGTAAAACATCGAGTTTTAACTTCACCATCTTAGCCGCTAAAGATATACATCAGGTGAAGGAGGTTGAGGGGAATTAATAGTGTGTCAACCTGCCAGAAAATGTCATGGCTATGTAATATGTGATTATCTGACACTTTATATATAAAGACTCCTTTCCAATTGCAATATTGCCTACACTGATACTGCAATGGCGATTGAGATTTGATATATTGGAGGGTTTCCACCAGTGTATTATAAGCCTGGCGGGCCACCAGGCTAAGCAGTGCTTATTTATTTAAGTCTTTTAAAAAAAATTTGCATGTTTTTTAAGACTTTGTAATTGGTGTTCAGGTATTGATCCTCTAATCTTTCAATAACGCATAATTATCATCATGGCAGTGGCTGATTTTCAGAAGTAGACAGGATTGGTATTCCCATTTCATTAGCATTGTAGCTAAAGATCTGCTTATGCTAAGGGCGGGACGTCCTTCAAACCTTTACAATAATAGTAGTTAGGCTTCTCCGGTTAAAAGCAACAGATTGTTGTACCCATAACAATCAGGTCCCTAAATCTGAGAGTTATAATTATTTGTTTTATATTTCTGATTCAGTGCTTGTATGCTCCGTCTGTTTTTTAATATTGTCAATCCACTTCTATGTTGTTCTGTATGTTTGAAAATGCCTGGCTGCAAAACAGATTTCCCCTTTGGGGACTATAACGGAACTGAACTGAACGGAGACTGCTACTACTACTCTTTGTGTATTTTGAAACGTGTTCTGATAAAACGAAGATAATACTGATAACCATCATGAATTTGCACACAATAGTCTTGACACAAAACATTTATTTCGTCACTTGCCTAACTACTTAAAACCCATGATGCTTGACTGTGACTTCCAGATCAATTTTCTAACCTGCAAGCCAAAAAGTCTCTCTCACAGAGCAAACACAGATTGAAATGTTGGAAACTATCAACTTTATCACCTTAAAAGATTGCAAGCATGTCTTGACATTGACTACTGGCATGTTTTGCTGCTTTGTCAACTCCATTGCTGTGGATGGAGAATCAAGTTAAACATAATTCAATTCAGTATTGATCGGGTATTTTCAGTGCTTTTGTTGAAATCCCATTAGCTGTGGTAAGTGGTCATCATCGGACGAGAACATGTTCAGGGATGGAAAGACTGTCTTGTCATGCAAAACCAAGTTTCCTGTTATTCTTTAAACCTGAAGTCATACCCTCAATGCGTGGCAAGGATTTTTCTCTGTGGACTTTTTGATAGATCAGTGGAAGGGGCTAACAACATACAGAGTTTTCACCACATTCATCCTTATTTCTCCTCCATCTTTAACTGATGTAATAATTCACCAATCATGGAAATAATCCTGTTTCACTTTGTGTGGGAAATCATCATTATTTGGCTTTGTGACGATTGAAGTAGAGGAAAATGAAGAAATTTAGCTAAGCTGCAAATCAGTTCTCATCCAAAAAATGGAAGCAAGGTGTTCTTCAGTAATTATTTTCCAAGAAGTTTCAGACATAATCAATCCTACAACGGCAAGAATAAGGTGAACACATTAATAATAATAAAAAAAAGTTGCTTGAAGTTTTAAATAATATCCATCACACATTAATACTGTGTGATGGATACCCTTTCAACCTGGGCATCCATCATAGGTTGATAGGAACACGTCTAATGAAAAAAGAGAAACTACCCCTGACTGAAGTCGAAGTGTCCTCTGTGTTTTTATACACTTCAGTGTGACCTATACAGTGTGCAATAATGGCAAGAAATGATGTCGATGAAGCACTGATTTGCTCTGGGCAACTGCAGAGAGCCTGTTCATATGTCTCTAAATATAATTTTGAATAAGCTCAAAAATGCATCAAGGTACATCCTGGTAGTTTCTGCATTTACATGCTGAAAATGGTGCCATATAAAAAAAAGAAAAATCACCAATGTCCCTAATCACCAATCAGTCGATTAAAGGAAATTTCCAATTTCTGAACTGTACATTTGCAGATCCCTACTAAATAGAAACCGAGACCAAGGTAATAAAGAAGGCTCTTCCATTTCATTATTCTACGTTTACCTAAAAAGAAGAAGATAGAGGATGAATGCTTTTTCAAATTAATGGCAGAAACTTTAGCAAAATTGAAGCTGTAAAAATTAATATTCAAATGAAATGGCAAACCTTTTGATGGAGCCAGCATGTCTTTCTCTCTGATAACCGTGAAGTTCCAGCTTTTGTTGCTTGTTTTTTTTATTTTAAAGTATTCTGGCTAAAGTAAAATGTTCATTAGTCCTAAGCGTCACAAGTACAGGTCAGTGAAAGTTTAAGTACATCAGCGCCCCGAGCCTCGGCTCATTCAAAGCACCCTGTGTGCCACTGATAAACGAGCTCTCCTTTTGTTTGTTTGTGTTGGCCTGTAGTGTTCAGTTCTTGTTTTTACTTACTGGCAAGTGGCCAGAGACAGTACCTATTAAGTCTCTGTCAACATTACTGTTTCACCTACGCTCGGAAAAAGGCTTTAGTAGGGTTTGCAGCAAATCCGGGTTTGCCTCCTGGTAATTGTCCTATGAATGCTCGTCCCGGGAGCCTTGTGGGCCAAATATTTGTTGGAGGGTTTCCTACATCTCTGAGTGGGGAACATACCTTTCATTCTTGTGGTGAGCAACAGGAAGATTGTGTTTTGTGGTGGTCTCGGTGTTTGTTGTAAACAGAGCAGTTATGGCCTTTTTTTAGGTGCCTTGCTTTGTTTTTTATCTTTTACCATGAAGTTCAACAGGTGGAGATTGTCTGGTGAAACAGAACTTTTCAGGACATTTTGCATTTCCTGAATTTGTAATTCACCTTTCCAGGTTGTCTGCAGATCCTAGAAAAGCCTTAGAAAGTCTTAAATTCATGGATCTAAAATTAAGGCCTTAAAATATCTTAAAAAACACAGCAAAAAGTATTTTGGTCTTAAATATGTTAATCACAGGTCTTAAATTTAGTCTTGGCAGGACTACTTAATCGTATATTATATGTAATCTTTTTCTCGCCAGACATTTCCATCAGGCAAATGTTTGAGTCACATGCAGAGACATCTTTGTGACTCATACCCTTGCCAAGCTAGCTATGTTATTTAACCTTGACAAATGCAAAAAAAAAAAAAAAAAGCTAGCTAGCATAAGTAAGTGGGCAAGTGCAAATGTATTGCCAGCTGGCTGGACGAAGTTCGTACATTTCTTTGGAGAAATGTCTAAAAAAGGTCTCTTTTTTTATTCAGAACTTTGATCTAAAAAAAAGCAAAGGTCTTAAAAAGTCTTAAATTTCAGTTGGTAAAACCTGCAGAAACTGTGCATTCAGTTGGGCGCTCCAAAGCCTATCACTTAAGGTTTAGGTTTCCTTGTGGCACTGATATTGACTGAGATGGAGTAGAAGAACATTGAAATGTTCAACATTTGGTCCTTGAAGACGTGAAAAGAAAATCATCAACCAGTTAGCTCAACAATACTAAGAGTAAAGCCTTTCATATAAGAGAAAACTTTTGCCAGTTGTCAGCAAAACAAATTCCAATCCTTTTAATTTTTAATTACTTGACAAAACACTGATGATGTGACAACTAAATGGTGCACCCAAAAGTCTAATTTGAATGGTCTGATTCCATATTTTTTGTAATATATTTCGGTTAAGAGCACACTAATTGGCTTGAATCAGTCACTTATGAATAACATTTCAAATAAGAGACCTCTTCTCTGACTTCTTTACTAAAAATGTACAAAACATTCTTTTCTAATTCTCTGATTACTGTATCTTGAGCTAACGAGCTGCACAGCATGTACAAACTGCATTATTTATCTAAAGTGGTATGAAAGCACCGAATTCGCACAGTTGTTATTGTTTATTTTCTTAATTCATTCCAGTTTCAGAGTCTATTTAATTGCATCTCAGCATGAAGTTCAGGGTCTTTTTGTGTAATAGTGGATTAATTTGATGTGTGACCGGCTGCAGAGGTTTTCCTATATGGTGTGAAATTCAGTTAGATTTCCCTTTATTTAGTTTTGTTTATTGAAATAGTTTTTATAAGTAAAAGAATAACCCGAAAGCACTTTAGTGTGTTGCTTTTCCTTATCGAAATATGGTCACTAAAATAAATCACTTCTTTGGACAAAATG